AAAAGCAATCTTCCAGGATTCTAGGGCTTGTTTATGAAAATTTGACAGTTTAATAGGTAACTTACTACACTTAAAGTTACAGGACAATAAAAATGTAAGGCCATCACAACGTTTAAAGCATAGGTTAGGGATCCAAAACCAGGGTAACTCATTATTAGAAAAACAATTCTTAATCCAGTTAATTTTGAAAGTCTGGTTAATGATATTAAAATCTAAAGCATTAAGACCACCCTCCTTATAATTTCTTATCATAGATTTCCTTTGAACACATTCTGTCTTATTTTTTCCAAATAAAGCGGAATAGCAGAGAGTTAATAATTTTAATAGTTTTTTGATCAACATAAAGGGAAAAAGCAGGATAAACTAGGCGTGAAATGCCCTCAGCCTTAGTCAGCAAGACTCTTCCATAAATTGACAAGTCTCTCTGCAGCCAGCAACATAAAATCTTCTAACCTTATCTAACCTTGGCTGAAAATTGTGATGGAGACGGTCTGAATCAGATCTGCAGATATCAACCCCTAGATATTTTACATGACGTTTAACTATAATACCATCACCAGAAATTTTATTGGAATCATGTACATATAAAATTTAACTTTTTGGGGATATACTACTAATCCTGAAGCTTTGGAAAAAATAATAAATTAATTGAAGGCAACAGAAACTTGTGAATAATTTTTAAGAAAAAGACAAGTATCGTCAGCTAACTGACTAATTATCAATGTATTCCCTCCAATATTTATACCTTCAATATTGGAGTGCTTCATATGCAAACTTAATAGCTCGGCGGCTAATAGAAAAAGAAAAGGAGAGATGGGGCATCCTTGCCGAATACCTCGAGCCACAGAAAACCGGGGAGAAGTGCCGGAAGCTAAGGAAACACAGACGATCAATTTTCGGCACGACACCGGCAGGCTTTGTAATCCATGCCAGAATCGAGCCTTTTCACACGTTTATTTGTATCTATTATTTATTTTGTATACAACCGTTGTAGTAGGTTCAAGACGGAGACAGCATGAATTACTACAATGCTACTAATGTTTAGCAGAGCAAGTAAAATTGGGGTGTTACTCATGCCTCTCTGACCGTAGCTCAGACATTACTGGTGATCGCAGATGACATCGATGCCAGCGGGGCCTTACGTTTCTTCCATGCAGGCTCTAATCTATGGACATTTGTGACATAAAATGACAGACTACGGCGAGGAGCAGAGGAATGAACTAGAAGCAATAGAGTCCATTTACCCAGACTCATTTACAGGTAATATTGACCGCAAAATTTATGTTTATGCCTATAACTTCGCACCGCTGCCCGTTAGCCGACTGGCTTTTCATTTAACAAAGTTAGTTAAACGTAAGAGCGAATCAGTCATCTCTTTGATATCATTCTTTATAGCAGCAGATTAAGCTGTCACAGGTTAAGAAACAAAGCAAAAATTAACCGATGGTCAGCAATAAGATGTCAAGCAGAAGTTGTGTCAGATTTATGTTTACGTGCTGCTTTGAATAACCTGTCGAAGTACTGGTTCAGTCAATGGTCAGTGGTCACCCACACATACCTGTTTACTTCCAGGCTGTGGGAAGAGATGAGCAACCGTGAGCTCTGTATATTTCATTAGTTTGTTTCTTTCCTTACAATATCTCCTTTTATGCAGTGCTTTCCGAGGAGCCCACAAGCTTCACCATCACAGTTACTTCTGATGCGGGAGAAAATGAAGAGAGTAAGTTCATGTGCTTTACAGTGCTCGGAATATGTTACAGTGTGTTCTACTATCATTAACCCTGTGAAGTGTCATATTTGATACATCGAGCTTTTATGGCTCATGCAGTATGATATTGGAGAATATGGAAGAAGAAAAACACTTTTATTTAGAGGCCCAAACTGAGCAAAAATATGCAATTTGGTGCAGTTGCTGATAATTATATGGCCAGAAAGTAAGAAGTATGATGTATGATGCCTTGTATTGTAAATCAATAAACTCTTTGCAACAGTACAACAGACTGCTTACATAAAATGCCTATAAATATCACTTGTCCTTCTTAATCTCCCAATACTGCTTAGTTTTATGATCAAAGCTCTGTAGTTTTTTATTGTGGTGGGCAAAACGTATAATGCAATGCAGTACAATGTTGATTGAGAGATGTACAAATAACTGAGAGGCCCTAGAAATGTATGTATCCAATATGATACAGTAGGCTTTAGGGGTGTCCAACTCGGTCCTGGAGGGCCACTGTCCTGCCGAGTTTAGCTCCAACCCTAACTAAACACACCTGAACCTGAACCTGAACCTAATCGAGGTCTAACTAGGCATACTAGAAACATCCAGGCAGGTGTGTTGAGTCAAGTTGGAGCTAAACTCTGCAGGACAGTGGCCCTTGAGGACTGAGTTTGGACACCCCTGCTTTATAGGGTTACTGTGTAGCTCAATGCTGATTTCTGTCTGTTTTAGCGGTGGAGGTGACCCTAAAGTTTACATATGTGGAGAAATACCCAGATGAGCCCCCTCTCTGGGAGATCATCTCACAGGAGAACCTGGAAGATTCATATACAGAAGACATTCTAATGCTTTTACAGCAACAGGTCTGCACACGTGACATCTTAACCAGCAAAACACATTAACAGTGGATAAAGTGCACATACTGATGTTGGGTATTTTTTACTGTCCTTTAGTCCTTCCTAATAACCTCTTTCTTTTGTAGGCCGAAGAAAACCTGGGAATGGTTATGATATTCACGTTGGTGACAGCTGTGCAGGAGAAACTTAACGAAATAATTGACCAGATTAAGAGCAGAAGAGAAGAAGAGAAACAAAGAAAAAAAAGGGAGACCGAAGAAGCTGAGAAGGTTTGAGCATGTCTTGTGAATGTAGACTAACATTAAAGGAATAGTTCACCCAAAAAAGAAAAATTGCTGAAAATCTACTCCCCCTCAGTCCATCCACGATGTAGACGAGTTTTTCTTCATCAGAACCGATTTGGAAAAATGTAACATTACTCCACTTGCTCACCAGTGGATCCTCTGCAGTGAATGGGTGCCGTCAGAATGAGAGTCCAAACAACTGATAAAAACATTGCAACAATCCAAAAGTTTGTTTAGCCACAATAAACAAGTACTTTTGTCAGTAAAGACAAATAATGCTTTTGCTAGAGGTGGAAGTACAGCTTCTACCAGTAGGGGGCCATGATGACTTACAAAAGCAGACCAACCAAACTGTACCACAACATTGCTATTATACTTAAATATTATGTTGAATGGTAGATTTGTTAGCAGTTACATAGCTATCCTTTATATTAAAATGGAAAATGTTTTTGTTTTGCTTTTCTCAGCGTGTATTCCAAGGCACTGTGGTCACAATTGAGAACTTCTTATCATGGAAAGCCAAATTTGAACAAGAAATGGTAGAACTAAAGAAGAAAAGGCAGAAAGAAGAGGAGCAGACAGGAAAGGGAAAACTCACAGGTGAGTTGCTATCATAACATTGAAAGTAGTGTAGAAACCCAAATCTGAACCACCTTTTGTCATGATCTGCTCATTTACTTTTTATGTTACAGGAAAACAGCTGTTTGAGAGAGACCACAATCTTGACACATCAGATATCCAGTTCTTGGAAGACAGTAAGCAATGTCAATTATTATTATTATTTTATATTCAAGTTGCCATAGGATGCCTTTTTCTTTTTTAAACTTATACTTGATTGTCCTTCAAAGTTGGTCTTCTTTGCTCTTTTCCTCTAGGTGGGAACAGTGTGGAAGTAGACGAATCACTGTTTCAAGACATGGATGATTTGGATTTGGATGAGGATGACCCTGATTTCAACCCACTGGACTTAGGCAGTGATGAGGACTGAATTGTGTTAACTCTCAACCTGACAAGAATGATATAGATGCCGACGTCCTGTGGAGCAGGACTTCAGCTCACCCGTTCTAAACACAAACTTTTTCAGTCACTACCATCTATGATGCAGCATATTTTACAATAACTGTCAAACATATTGTCATTTGTTACAATTATTGCTATTAAAACATTCTCTTATTTTGCTGAATGGCTTCATTAACACAAGAGTTGCATTAGGTTAGTGTTTCCTAGAGATGTGACCTGGCAGGTATTACATCCCGAGTTTAACGCCAATCACTTCCTGTTTTTCGTCTAACTGTTTGTCTATACAGTACAAGCCAATAAATAAGAATTTACCAAAAAGTATTAGCATATTAAATCAACACTTAATGAAATAACTGAAATCTGATGAAAAATCTAATGATTCTGCTTCATTGTTTCTGATTAACACTGACTTTATTTTATGTATCAATATTTAAATATGTTTGGAATTAACTTTATTTTGCATTTGACTGAAACATCTGTTTATTTCACTAAAAAGAATGCACAAGCAAGATTTAGAATTTTATATTTTTATACAAATACTCTTTTTAAATGGTAATTTCAAAACAGTATTCCAGAAGTGGACAGCAGTGAGTCACGACACATATCTGTCTGAAGCTGCCTTGAACTTTAAATTTATACAATTTAGGAAGCAAATAAGATATTTGCTTAACTTTGTACTTTGTATTACTGTTCAAAAGTTTGGGGTTGGTAATTTTTTTTTTAATGACGTGGCTAAAGCTCACTAAGGCTGCATTTATTTGATCAACAATCCAGTAAAAACAGTAATATTGTGAAATATGACAATTAAAATAACTTCTATTTTAATAGATTTTAATTTATTCCTGTGATGGCAATTACACCAGCCTTCAATGTAACATGATCCTTCAGTAATCATTCTAATATGCTGATTTGATGCTCGAGAAACATTTATTTTTTTATAAACGTATTATTATATAATAAATTATCAAAACAGGTGTACTTAATATTTTTGTAGAAACTGACTTTTTTTCAGGATTTCAGTTTTTATAACAGTGTAAAAGTCTTCACTGTCACTTTTGGCCAATTTGATGTATCCTAGCTGAATAAAATAATTTATTTAAAAAAACTCTTGCTGTCCCCAAATATTCTACACCAAACAGTAGAGTGGTTTAGCTGATCAAAATAAATAAATAATAATAATTTATTGACTCCAAACTTTTGAACATTTTCAGATATTCTTTATTTTTTTTACTTTTTTGATTTCAAACCCTGCTGATGAGCCTGAATAAATCATGGTGAGATGAGATCATTCATATCCCAGATGAAAGAAAGAGAAACATCTTTCATCTTCTGTTGGTACACTTTGTCAAATCTCTCATTCTGCGCCACAGTGAAGTAGTTCTTCCAGTCACCAACAGTTCCTGTTCAGAGTTAAGCAGTAAGGTTATATTCTAGTCAATAACCAAATTCAACAGGTTAATAACATTCAAATTACTTAATGGCAGAGATTAGTGACTATATTCTCAAAGGTTATCCTCATATCTTTGTCATGTTTAGAACAGATGTAATTCTTACATGTATACAATGACTTGTATACATGAGCAAAATATAACTAAATTCACTGTAGGAATGACAAAATGGGTGGAAACACATTTAAGAGATACTGTGGTTTGTAGGAGTCTTAAGAAAAGCTTTGTCTTGAAAATATATAGTCAACCCAAAAATGAGCACACAGATGAAGTATAATTATAGTTCACTACAAGTACAAATCCTTGTGAATGTTATGAAATTAAGATTCTGTCATCATTTACTCACCCTCATGTTTCCCCCCACCTGTATAACTTACTTTCTTTTCTCTTCATCACAAAAGATCAGAATCAGCATCCACCATTTACTTTCATTGTATGGAAAAAGGCTGTCAGTAACTACTGTGAGGGTGAGTAAATGATGACAGATTCTTCATTTTCACAATTGCAAGAATTTGTTGGTGTACTGATTTTTAATTGTATCATTTTTTTTTATGATTTTACTTTAATCTGTGTGCTTGAAACAGTGAGGTGTTACAGTGGGTACGGAAAGTATTCAGACCCCCTTAAATTTTTCACTCTTTGTTATATTGCAGCCATTTGCTAAAATCATTTAAGTTAATTTTTTTTCCTTATTAATGTACACACAGCAGATCTGCTGGTAATTGGCCTGAGGATTGTTCTTCATATTTTTGAAGGTACTGTGCTCAACAACATCATTCAATTGCTGTGATGTCAAGTTCCTCGCCAAGAATGAAGTGATCCTTTCAACCACTGACCGTAAGTCCTGCAAGCATGCACGGTTGATAAGTTACAGCAACAATTCTGGACTCACATTCCAACTCTGAGGTTATGTGTACACGTTTGGGGTCAAAATGTTTTTTGTTTTTTTCTTTCTTTAATACTTTTGAAAGAAGTCTTTATAACAAGGCTGCATTTATTTGATCAAAAATGCAGTAAAAACAGTAAGGGTTTCCGAAAGGTTTTATGAAAGTAAATTCAAGACTTCTTAAGACCAGTTAAAGAAGGAAGGAATTAAGGAATAAATATGCCAATATGTTCTTTACATGTAAATGTCTACATAATTGTATTAGCAGCCCTTTAAAGTTTGAAAATAACTTTCAACAATCATTGAAATTCTATGTTATTTTACTACATCTAGTTCAACTGCAGGAAAATTATAAATGTTGCCTTGGCAACTGAAATAAAATAAGTTTTAATTGTTTTTATATTTTCATTTTATTTCAGTTTATTTTATTTCAACAAAAATATTTTTATAGATTTATTTTTCAATTTCTCAGAAAACAAAACATGACATTTGAATTTTGCCTCTCAAGTACATATTTGTATGGGAAAACAAGACAAAAATGCAGAGGAAGATATATATAACTCCTCTGTATTTTTGATTTAAGACGATTTAATTTGTGGAAAGAAAAATTAAAACTTAGTATACTTAGCTTAGTATTTTTACATAAACTTTAGGATTCTTTGATGAATAGAAAGTTCCAAAGAATAGTATTTAATTTAAATAAAAATCTTTTGTAAAATTATAAATGTTTTTACTTTCTGTTGTTCAATGGAATGCATCCTTGCTGAATAAATGTATTTATTTCTTAAAACAATTCCTACTGACCCCAAACTTTTAAATGGTAGAGTATACAGTTTATCTTATTTATCAAGAAAACAAGCAAACCAGTCAAACCTTAATCATCTCCTCATATGTAATGTACAAGAAGTTCATCTCGTCTTTGTGGGAGCACCAGCTCTTGACATGCTCAAACCAGCAATTACCAAAAACTGAAACACATGATATATGTTGAGGATTTCTGGTCAAACAGTTGCTTTGATTGAAATGGCAACTTAGATAAAAGAAAAAGCTTTTTGTTTACCATTTCCTTCTATGAATTTCTCAAAAAATGTATCAAAGTCTTTTGGGGTCTCCAGCATATTTGCATATTTGTGAAAGTGGAAGTAAGACACCAAAACATCCTTTGGATTTCTGGCCACATAGATGACCTATTAGTCATTAGGAAGAGTGAAGAGATCATGTAAACATTTTCAATAGACTTAAGGAGACTGTACATGCTGTAAGAGAACGTAGCGGTCATAATTATTCAGTACATGATTATTTCACTGAAGCCATACAGATGCAGTGGCAGCTTGATAGAAGAGATCTCACCTTGCCCTTCTTTTGTTTCAGTCCAAGTGGCATGAATTTGTATGGCAGATGAGACACACAGATCCTGGGGGAAGGGGCAGAAACAAACTGTTTCCTAGAGTCTAAAAGTTCAATCCATGGTACTCGCTCAGAATTCAGCTGCTCATTTGACGCTGTAACATCTCCCTTGACCTCTATTAGACTGAGGATTTGCTGCAACCAAATAGTGCCTGCAAAGATGATCAACACAAGCAAGAACATGTTTACAAATTCTCTAATAAATTGCACATAGGATGTCTATTACGATTACTGATCACTGAAGGATTTAAATCGTGCCATACTCAGTAAGCGTGCATTTTTGTGATTACAGTATAAATCTAATGTTCGTGAAGTGCTTGCTCACACTATTTTGAAAGCCGTTTATGAAAAAGTATTTTGCATACTGCACTTTTAGCAGTAGCATGTGGCTCCAATGGATCTCTATCTTACCTGATTTGGGGTAAGTAATGACAAAGACATCTGAGTCTTGAATCTCAAAGTTTTGAATTTGATCCACCACCTCAGGAGAGTGTATTCCAGATATTAGTTTGAAGCCCCTAAGAGGGACCAGCTTATATTCAGGGGCCTCACCACTGCTCTGACTGAAAACCTCTGAGAGACCAAAAAATGTAAATAAAGATATAATTAAATTAAAACATGTTATACATTATATGTCAGTGTCTACATTCAAATATTCACCAAGATAATCTATACAGTACATATGTTCACATGCATTCATAAAAAAAAAAAAGATAATATTTGCACAAATTAAACAATATTTACACCCAAAACCTAAAATCTCTTAAAGGGGTCATATGATGCGATTTCAATTTTTCCTTTCTCTTTGGAGTGTTACAAGCTCTTGGTGCATAAAGAAGATCTGTAAAGTTGCAAAGACTAAAGTCTCAAATCCAAAGAGATATTCTTTATAAAAGTTAAAGGGGTCATATGATGCTGCTAAAAATAACATTATTTTGTGAATTTGGTGTAATGAAATGTGTTTATGTGGTTTAAAGTAAAAAAAAAAACATTATTTTCCACATACTGTACATTATTGTTTCTCCTCTATGCCCCGCCTTCTGAAACGCATCAATTTTTACAAAGCTCATCGGTCTGAAAAAGCGAGGTGTGCTCTGATTGGCCAGCTATCCAGTGCGTTGTGATTGGCATAATGTTCTTTTTAGCAACATCATATGACCCCTTTAAGTGAATTAAAGGGCATAAATATATTCATGGAAATCATAGCATATATATGAGTATAGCATATAGTATATAAGGCTATATTTTCGCGTTTGACTGCGGTCAGGCCAGCCGCCACGTTATTTCGAGGGTTGCGCATATGCTACCCAGAGCCGTAGAGAGAGAGAGTTGTGACAACTCCGTTCACTCCAATATTGTTTCTGTATATATTTTATTGTTTCTGAATACATGACGTTACTTGATCTATATAGCCTAATTTTAGAACATTTCTGCCATATGAACATTACCAATTACCAATAAGAGTTCTGTTAACAGGTGTAACTGTGCCAAAGTAATGTAGAAACATTCATTTTCTGTAAAGCTGCTTTGAAACAATGTGTATATTAAAAAAGTGCTATACAAATAAATGTGAATTGAACAAAACTTAATGCATTTTTTTCTCCTCTCCAGATCAGTAGGGAAACCATACATTCACACTCCTTTCTGTGAGTGACTGGAGCACTCCCATGCAGCACAGCAAACTATAGTGGAGACTGTTCAAGGACAACATGCTTTATAGTTTATTATAAATGTATAAATCGATTGCTGTAAATAAGTGCATAACAAAAGTCAACATACATAAAATATATGATTAAATGCAGCAAACATGCTTTATAGTTTATTATAAATGTATATATCGATTGCTGTAAATAAGTGCATAACAAAAGTCAACATACATCAAATATATGATTAAATGTGTAATTTTTTTTAAGTTGTTTTAAATTGGAATATACTGCAACTATATTTTTATATATTAATAACTGAGGGGTGCACAAGAATCAAAAACATTAAACAAGATTAGTTTTCACTTAATAAAATACTGTAGCAAGTCTGAAAAAGTGTGTTATGCTGTCAGGTGTGATTTAAGTCAAATATGTTCTGTTCCTGTGTTTTGTGTTCTTTTTGCATGGGGGCTTTAAGGGGTGGGTGTTCTTCTGAAGAACGAGTCTGCGCACTCGTGTGTGGGTGGAGTCTGGGGGAAAGGTTCTGGAAGTTTGTGAGTTCAGAGAGAGAGAGTAGAGCTCAAGCGTTGGGTTTGTCTCGGGCACTCTCGTGAATAAAAAGCAAGCTAAAAAACCGTCAAGTTGTCGTTTCACTGACTGGATCGCTACACTGGTGTCAGAAGTGACCTAACCGAATCCAGTTGGTCTACGGGATTACTGACATTATTGTCCCGGCAGCACGATGCGGAAGCAGACTCGAGAAAAGATTCTAACATGCAAGTTGTAAGAACACACATACATACATACATAATTATATTTATATAGAAAGGCTGAAGTTACCTTGGTAGAAGACCACAGTGTCGTTTATATAGCAAACACGGACTTTTACCATGGTAACTAAAGCCTAAAATATGTTGCCATACACATATAAATACCTAGACTCCTCACTGGCCGCTTTGAGCCGTTGCTGCGATACGTCAACGCGTCCGCCATGTTTGTGAGGGCAAGACTGCCTTAAAAACAAATGGAGGTAAACGGAGGAGCTGCGTTTTTTTCTGGATAAAAACACGATAACGTTTACATTTATCAACCGATTTCAGAGGTTTGTGATCTACATGGAGTTAAA